AATTAATAATAACATTATTACTGACAAATTTGAAATAAGTAATCATTTTAACACCCATTACACTGATTTGGGAAGAAATTATGCTAATAAAATAACAACTCCTGACAACTATGTTGACCACATTGAACAAGTGGAAAACTCGATTTTCCTATTCCCTACAAATACTCTTGAGGTTGAAAATATGATAAAAAATTTGAAAAATAAAAAATCCCCAGGTAAAGATAACATCCGGGCTGAAACATTAAAAGAAGTAACTAATGAAATAGTACTTCCTCTAACATTCATAATAAATAAATGCTTTCAAAATGGTGTATTTCCAACTTGCTTAAAGACAGGTACAATCAAACCCCTCTTTAAAAGTGGCAAAAAAAATGAAATAATAAACTATCGTCCTATTACTTTGATATCTAATATATCTAAAATATTTGAAAAAATTATTAAAAATCGGATCACAAAATTCTTGAACAAATTTGACGTTCTCTCTGACATGCAGTATGGCTTTAGAGAGGGTAGATCAACAGAGGATGCAATTTTTAAATTAATATCCGAAATATATTCACATATAGATAAAAACATACCCTCGTTATGTATATTTCTTGATCTGTCCAAAGCCTTCGATACTGTTTGTCATGAGTTGTTGTTGAAAAAACTTGAATCATATGGTATTAGGGGCAATATGCACAATTTAATCAAAAGTTATTTATCAGGGCGCACACAACAAGTTAAAGTAGATGATGTTGTAAGTGAAACTAGAGAAGTAACCTTCGGTGTTCCGCAAGGAACAGTCTTAGGTCCATTATTGTTTAGTTTGTATATTAATTCACTTTTAAAAATGAAAACGGACGGCACTGTTATTAGCTTTGCAGATGACACAGCCATCCTTTACAAGGGAAAAACTTGGGATTCACTAAAAACAACAGCTGAATTAGAAATGCAAACAATAATGAAATGGTTTCAATATAACAAACTTACTCTTAATATTGAAAAAACTAAATACTTACCCTTTTGTTCATACGTAAGTAGCCTACCCAATCTTGGTCCGCTAAAAGTAAGCGATTCATCTTCCATTCCCGAACAGCCTACAATTAAATATTTGGGAGTTATTTTAGACCGTCACCTAAGATGGAATTATCATATTGACCATGTTGTACAAAAAATTAGGGGTTTTCTGTCACGTTTTAAATTTTTATCGAATTATTTAGACATCAGGCATCTTCGAACAATTTATTTTTCACTAATCCAATCACAAATAACCTACGGTATAATTGGATGGGGTAGCACCAATCAATGTTACCTAAAAAATATTAACGTTATACAAAAATGGATTATAAAATTAATGTATAAAAAAAATAAAACTTACCCAAGTGATAAATTGTACAAAGAGAGCCAAATTCTTGATTCTAGACAACTATATGCATTACGACTTTTGTTAAACATCTATAAACGTAGGCCAGAATTGCAAACACAAACACATCAATACGAAACTCGAACAAAAAATCTATACTTACTACCAAAATGTGAAAAACCAATGGGTCAACGCAGTCCCATGTATATAAGCACAAAATTACTTAATTGCCTACCTGAATACATAAGAAACTCAGCTTCGTACTATATTTACAAGAAAAATGTGAAATATTGGATACAAAGTACAGGTGCAACATTTTTTCAAAATATAATGAATCCATGATGTTCATATATAAAACTTAGATATATAATAATAATAATAATAATAATCGACTTTATTGTTTTTAGTATAACAAGAATACATTTTTATAACATTTAATTTATACCATAAAAACAAAAGGCGAAGTTCAATTTATCTGGTGACGGATCACCAGTAAATTGTTCTTCCACTTAACCTGAAATGAAATGCCGCAAATCTAGTGCAAACAATAAAACATAATTCCTTAATAATAATAATAATCTGCCTTTTCTCTAAACAAAATTTAATTACTCATATTTTTTAATGTCTCAACGCAACGATTCATCCTTTACCGTTCAAATAAGAATTTTTTAATAGCCCTTTTAAATAGTTTTACAGTGTAAGTTTTATATAGTGCTGGGATATCATTATAAATAGAACATATTTGGTAAGTAAAGCTACGTCTAAAAAGTTCCAACCTGAAAAAAGGAGGGGAAAGAATACCTTTATATCTGACATTTAGATTGTGAACATGAGTCCGATATGTTACTTTTTTGTGCAAGTATGAAGGTGTCTTATTAACAATAATTTTATGAAAAACAATTGATGCATGCATAATCCTCCGGTCCGCCATATTTAACCAGCCATTCTCTTTCAATTTATGACTGATGTGCTCTCTTCTCCGAATATTGTATATAAAACGTAAACAAGAGTTTTGGACTTTTTGAATCTTTTTTTTATATAAGCTGCTTAAAAATGGGCCATAGAGTACATCTGCATAATTAAAAATAGATAAGATCAGTGTATCACACAGTGTCGATTTGATGTGTGACGGTAAAAAATGTCTACTTCCGTATAATACTTTAAGAGTAAAATATGCACGTTTTACTAGTTGATTGACATGTGATTCAAACTTCAAGTCACAATCTAATGTCACTCCCAAACTTTTAGCTTCATCAACAATCTGTAGCGGCATATTTTCAATTAGAATATTAATATTTGGACTAATCTCGTTTCTTTTCGCCTTATTTCCAAAAACAATAACATTGGACTTATCACTATTGATATTCAGGCAGTGATCAGATGCAGCTTTAACAAAACAGTTTAGATCGTTGTTTATAACATTACATGCTTCTGCTATCATTTCGGAATTAAAGCTATAGTATAACTGAGTGTCATCGGCATAAAGGTGAATGTTACAATGTTGAAGGCTTTTTACAAGATTGGATGTATATAACGCAAACAGCAACGGTCCAAGAATGGAACCCTGGGGTACTCCACACTTTAATTTTTTAAAATGAGAAAATTGTTTATCGATTTTAACTAATTGTTGACGATTAGTAAGGTAGGAATTTAGAAAACTTACAGCATTTTCAGAAAGACCTACATATTGCAAAATTGCAGACATTAAACTATAATTAAGAGTATCAAATGCTCTACTAAAATCCAGCAAAACTAATATACTAGATTTTCCTTTATCCGTAGCTCTTACAATATCATCAACAATATGGAGAAGAGCCGTTGTACAACTATGGTTTTTACGAAATCCTGATTGGGTGCCTGGCAACAATGAGTGTGATTCTATATGTTGTTTTAGCTGTACTTCTACAGCTCTCTCTAATATTTTTGACAAGGTTGGTAATATACTAACTGGCCGTAGATCTTTGTATCCAAGAGGATTTGGTTTCTTAGGTAATATCTTTACAATAGCTCTTTTCCATACATCAGGAAAAATATTATTATTTAAACAATAATTAATAATATGCGTTATGTAAGGAATTACATGAGGGCAACAAATTTTTAAAAGGCGTAAGCTTAACTGGTCTTCCCCCACAGCATTCGTTTTTATGCTATTAATTGTTTCGTAAACAAATATGTCATTAACTTCATGAAATTTGAATTTAGAGTCTACTAGCTTTTTATTTCTATAAGATAATATCAGATGTTCAGGAGGTTCCCTAACTGGACAAGAATTAATGAAAAAATCATTTATTTCCTCAGGATTTTTCAAATTATTAGGAATTAAATTTGATTTATTTTGTATAACATTATAGGTCTTCAAAGTATTCCATAATGTTTTCGAATTATTTTTGTTTAACTCATACGTAAAAAAAGCTTTCTTTTCACGTTTAATCGCAGAATTAGTATAGTTTCTTATGTCCTTATAAAACTGAAAGTGAACTTCCGATTTTGTTCGTGTATATCTTTTGAAAGCTTTATCTCTTATTGTCATCATTTCCCTAATAGCCCCTGTTAACCACGGTGCTCTAGGTTTGGTTACTCGCGAAGTTACTAAAGGTACATGTCTATCTATTATATTTATTAATAAGTTAACAAAAAGAGATATTTTTTCATCAGCGGTTTCTTGATCAAAGATTCTAAAAAACGGTGTGTTATGTAAATCCCTCTGAAAATCAGCATCGTTAAAGGTTTTAAATGATCGATATGTAATATTTCGAGGCTCCTGTTTTTGAACACACACCTTTACCTTACAAGAGGCTATGTCGTGATCGCTTATGATTCCAGTTACATGAATAATACCCTTTTCAACTACCCATTCAGGAGATGTAACTATGCCATTTAACAAGGTCGCTGAAGTGTTCGTAATTCTCGTAGGAGCATCCATTATTTGACTAATACCAAAACATTCTAAAACATTTATCATTTTATCAACCGTAACATCATCAACGTTTAAAAAATCTATATTGAGATCACCACCACACAGAATCTCATCAACAGTAGGATATATTAAACCCAAAGTATCCTCAAATTCATCAATAAATGAGTTCTTATTCATTCGGGGAGGCTTGTATATTGCACCAAGAGCGATACTCTTATTTCCTACTTTTATCTTTAACCACAGTTGTTCAGATATAGTTCTTTGATGATTCAACTGCTCACAGTATAATGTATTGTTAACATAAATGCACAAGCCTCCTCCCAATGCTCCGCGGTCTAGTCGATATATATCGTAGCCTTCAAAAGAAATTACATCGTTTGATATATTTTCATTGAGCCAAGTTTCACATATAAATAAAATATCAAAACGATGTTCATTAAAAATTGTTCTTATATTTTGCAAATGTGGTAAAAGAGATCTTGCGTTGAGACATCCTATATATAAATGATCAAGCATTCCCAAATAAAATGAGTTTCAAAGAAAAGGCTAAATTAAAAAAAAAAAAAAAACAAACCAATCTAAAAACTGTAGAGATAAGAAAGTAACAGAAATGAAATAAAATTGTATCTGGATACGCGCTAATTGCGCCTATTGTGTGCTCCAATAGTTAAACTTATAAATTAGTGAAATGAGATAAGTAACACTTACATGAGTATTATTTATTTGAAAAACACTATTATGAAAGCGATGCAGAAAAAATATAATTTAATGAAAATAATTTGTGAACAAAAATTGATAGGTATCTAAAAATATTTATATTCTAGATAAATCTTGAGAAGACATAATTTTAGTGATATTGTTATCGTTAGTAAACTTGATGAATATAACACCGAAGTTCGTCCAAACTTTCCCATTTTTTCCAACTTTTTCTAAGGCCATCTTCAATAGTTTCAACTGCTCTGTAGTCAGGTCTTCTCTAATCACAATTTGGCAACCTTTAAGTAATTTTTTGTTTTGAAAAACTACGCTCCGATGATAACCATTAAAAAATTTTACTAGCAAAGGACGACATTTTCCTGTAGTAGTTTTTCCAACCCTGAAACATCTTTCGATGTCTGAAATCTTTATATTTAACTTCAATTTATTGTTGAAAATATTAATTATATTAGTTCTACAATCCTCATTAACATTTTCCTTCAGACCGTAGATCAAAATATTATTTTTACGGATAAATTGTTCATGTTTATCACAACTTTTCTTCATGGACTTAATTATTTCATCCTGTTGTAAGACAATCTCTTCTAGCTTCTCAGTTTTTTGTTTTAGAGTTTCAATATCTTTATTAATTTCTTCTTTAATAGACTTAAAAATTGTATCACTAAGCTGAGTGATAAAATTTTCCGACGCACACAATTTATTATGTAGTTATTCCTAAAATTATTATTAATTAATTAATTAATTAATCTCGATTGTGTACAAAATATTTTAACAGTTTTAACAGATTTTAACCATTGTTTTGTTTAAGATTGTGTGGAAAATAAATATAAATATAAAAAAATATAACAGACTGCAAATTTTTATCTAGCCAGTTTTAATTAATTTTATTTTTTATTATCTTTATGTATCATTGTAGTTATAGTTATTACATTAGTATTATTATTGTTATTATTTATTATTATTAATTATTATTAATATGCTTCCCCGCACACAGACACAATCGTGTCTCAGCGGATGTATGAATGTTTATTTATTATTTTTTTAAACTTCTGTATCTACTAAAATGTATTTTTTCTTTAAATTGAATAAACATTATTATTATTATTATTATTATTAAATAATGCGAGTGCTGCTAGTTCTTCATCCAAGTACCATAGATGAGCACTTAATTTTTTTAAAGCTTTCTGTAGCACTGGCAATTGAATTTCTGGGCAAAAAAGTAACTTCTTCAACAGTTGCAGATCATTATTCGACGCTTGGATTGCCACAGAACAAGTAGACCATACTTTGACGTAAATTAAAATAATAAAAGTACATATTTGACGCAAGCTACCAATTTCTCGTTTAGAAAGTGAAAATTGACCTCTGAACATGAAGATTTTTAATCTGTAAATCGCTTTAGCCATCCATCGTGCATGATGCATTGCTCCTGGGCATTTAAAACTTGCTGTACCTTCTAGGAGACCATCAAGAAAAATCAATGATAAGTCGAGAAGTTCCTTGTAATCATTTCTTGGCTGAGCAACCTGTTTAATAAAAAAAATCGTTAATTGAAATCATCAAACGCAAATTTTCAACTGTTTCGAGCACAAAATAATAATATACCTTTAATAAATTATTAATTAGGTTAATCAATTCAAGTCTGTTCGTTAAAAATGTATTTGCAATTAATTCATCTTGCATGCCACTTTGGTACTTCGATTGATCGATTTCGCTCCAAAAATTGGAACGTTAGGACCAGAAGTTGTCGGCCAGAAAACTTGAAAAACTCCTTTCAAAATAATTTCAAAAATATGGTGGCGACAAGGTAACCAAATTAGTTTCCGGTTCAATTTTTTTTTTAATCAACGCAGCTGTACCATTTAGTATTCCTATAAATTAAGTGTTAATGTCTGGATTATAGATAAGTCCAATAAATTAGAGCAAAAAAAATAATGTCAACTATTAATGAATTTTCAATCATTTGAATAAGATAACAAAACAAACCATACCAGTATTAACTGCTGGAGTGTCAAAGCACATTGCCTTGATGTTAGAAGTAACTTTCGACTCTTCCAATGTATTTAATATTGCTACAGAATGATTTTCTGCAGTTCCATCAGATATTTTTGGTACACCGAGGAGTTGATTAACATTCGAAGTAAATAATATGAATGCAATTCTATCTACAGTTTCAGAACCAGCCAAATAATCTAGAATCTTGCCATCCCAATGAACAGTGTAACGATCTTCAGCTTTGAACTCATTTTTCAAGTGTTTAGCGATAGTTTTTCTAAACTCTATACGACCTCGTCGAATAGTACTATAGCTTAAGTTTAATGTTTCTATATTTATTCCAATGCTTTGGTAAGCAGCAGCTAAAACAAAAGTAGCATTTCGGTTACCATCGTTTGCTCTATCAAGGGCAGATGCAAGTTCAGGAGTCATAACATCAATTTTGGGGGGCGGATTGAGCTGACTGAAGGGAGGTTCATAGTCAGAAACGATTGCTGATTACTGACTACCAAATGCTGTTTCTGTATCAGTTGACGATTGGACACGTACCAAAACACCACTATCCTGAACTTGATTATCAAATGTAGGCTGATCAATATCTGTGGAAATAATATGTATTAACAAATATTTTTGGTAAAAAAATAAACATTGGATTAAGCAGAATTCTATTTGAAATACTAAATGCAATAAATATTTTTTTTCTGGAAAATAAAATGATTAATAACCATTAACATCCATAGTATGTTGATCAGTTTTTTCGTTTGACACACTTGGGTCAATAAATCCATAACGCTTGGTAGATCTTTGAGCTTCTAAAAATAGTTGCTTTGTATCGTCAAGTTTCTGCTTTGGATCTAAACGAGTAATATCGAATAATTTACCAAATTTTTCTTTAAACATTGCCCCGTTTTTTTTCTGCGTTGGAGACTTTTTTCTGTATTGACTTTTTTTGAGTTTTAACCATTGATTAAATAACTTTAAAACTTTTTGCACAGCATAAAAATTTTTACAAGTTGGAAGTTCAACTTGCAATAATTTCTCTTTAACTTTTTTTATTGTAACCGAAGCACTTTGTTTTAATGTTAGCTTATGTATAAAATTCTGATATAAAAATACTGACAGAACCTCTTTATTTGTTGGTAATTTTCGACCAACAAAATTTTCCTGAATCTCACCGATTAAGTATTTTTTTAAATCCATTAAATTCGATGGAATAATTAACAAAATAACTATAAATTTACAGAGCAAAACTATAAATAGCACTATCCAAGGAAAAATTCAAAAGAGAATGTCAAAACAATGTGACACAGTGTATAGCAAAATCATAACTTTTGTCTTTTTGGTTATGTCGGTAAAAAAGTGCACTTTTTTTTTACAATAAATTACTTTTGGAAATTTTTTTATGAATTAAGTAACTTCAGTTGATTCGTGAAATAAAAAGTGTCTAAGTAAAAGTTTTTATGACAAAACAATTTATATAAAAGACTTAAAATACTCACCAAATGATCGAAACACATCATAAAATGTGATTCAGAACAAAATATTTTAAAAAAATTGATAATTTCATCGAAATCTGAAAAAAAAGATTTAATTTTTTTGTAACTTTAATTTTGACCTCGAATAACTTCTACATGGTTAAAATAATCAAAAATTATTTAAAGACTTTTTTGTAGAGCGTCAAATTTCCTATAAGAATAATTTTTGGTTTGACAATCCATTCAACCGCTTCAGAGTTACAAAATTCCAAAATTAAAAAAAAAAATTTCCGTGTTATTTAAATGAGAAATAGAAATCTGCGATTCGCGACCTCCTAATATTAATATTAAGGGCTCTCGTTTTCACAGGTATCTTTTAACACCTTCTCGAAAGTTTTTACATAAGGATTTCAAAAAAAAAATTAATTATTTTTTTGGAATCAGCCTATTAGACATTCTTCTATATTACTGTCATTGTAGTAATTGACATTATTATTGGAAAATATAAAGAAGTTACTAAAAATTCTAAAAAAGTATTTATGTTTTATATTAAAAATTCAAAAGAAAACACACGTATGGAAATAAAACAAATAATCATAATATTACTCTAGTTAATGATTAACATTAAACTAGAGAATTTAAGGTAGATCGTGACATTTTTAAAAATACAACTATCACGTAAATTTTGGGCTTATACAGGGTGTCTGTAAAAGGTCTTTACAAAAACATAGCACATATTCCTTAGACCAAAATAAGTCGATTTAAGTAAAATTACCTTAATACAAAGTTGCTTCGTTTGGGCTCCAGAGGGCCTTGAAGTTACAATTTTTAAATGGTTTTTCCCATATAAATTTAACACGGCATATGCGATTTGTCTGAAATTTGGTATATTGGTAGAGTTTTATGTGGCAAAAAAATGGTATTAAAATTTTGTCCGATAATAATACATAGGCGTAGAACTTGATTTTTTAAATAATTGCACCTTTAAAAATTCTACGCCAATGGAAGAAAAGGAGTTTGAGTACGAAATTTAGATTGCGCAACTCGTTTACTTTAAAAAGGGTACTCATGATAAGACTCGATTACTCTCATGGTTTTCGCGAAATTTCTGTTTTAATAATTTAGAGTGTATAGGTTTCACAAAAATATTTATTTACAACATAATCAAAATAGGGATTTTACAAAAATTGTTCAAAATGTTCACTATTTTTACGCATACAAATGTTTATACGTCGAAGAAAACTAAAATGTATCCTTTCCATAACTTTTTCATCACCTCTAAGATTGTTTATTGCATCTTGAATACGTTGTCAGAGTTGTTCCTCATTTTCTACAGGTTCCCTGTAAACTGTGGATTTCAGATGTCCCCATAAAAAGTAATCCAGCGGTGTTAGGTCTGGAGAACGTGGTGGCCAGTTTACAGGTACGGCATTACCTCTGCCTATCCCTTTGTGTGGATATTGTTCATTCAAATGGTTTCTAACGTTTAAAGAAAAATGTGGTGGAGCTCCATCTTGCATAAACCACATATCTTTCCGAAGTTCGAGAAGTTAATCTTCTAACAATTCTGGCAACGTATTTTGTAGAAAATCCAAATAATTTTCTTCAGTTAATCTTCGTGGAAGTATGACAGGACCAACAATGAAATTACCAATTATTCCAGCCCACACATTAATTTTGAATTCGTGCTGAAAATGGTTTACCTTTATTGCATGCGGATTTTCAACGGCATAAACATGTTCATTATGGGTATTAATTATACCTCTTCTTGTAAAACTCGCTTCATCGGTAAAGAGAACCTTCTTGACAAAGTTTGGATCTCTTTCTCTTTGCATATTAACAAATCGACAAAAACACAAACGAATTTGAAGATCATGGACTAATAATTCTTGTACTGGCTTCTTATGGTATGGATATACCAATTGTTCTCTAAGCACTTTATGAACGACATTTTTACTTACTCCTAGTTTCCTTCCAATTCGTCTGGTGCCTAATTCTGGATCTTCCATTATCAACAGTGTTGGGAGCAAAGGAACCGGTCTCCCGAAGACGTCTCTCAACAGCAGCAAATATTGGGTGGCTAGGTACACGACGATTTGGAAACCTTTCAGAGTACACCCTGACACTCTCTCGAGCATTTCCTTCCCAAAATCCTAATGTCAGTAACATATTGGTATATTCTGCATTGGTATATTGTACAGCCATATTAATTAACCACGCATTTGTTTTTTTAATTATTGAGTCAGATAGAACACTTTCAATCGTTAACAAGAGATTAGGTGTTAAAACTTGACAATATTTTGATTTAGATGAAACTATGGAAACCAACAATAAATGTTTTTGTATACGTATTGCAGGCAAATAATTAATATTTCTCAAAAAATCGTACATGGCAAGAATCGAGTATTTTTGTTAAAAGTCTAGATTAGAGGTGTTGAAGAATATATGAAAAAAGTACATTTTTTTGTTTTTCATCGTATAAAATTTTGTCCGATAATAATACATTGGCGTAGAACTTGATTTTTTAAATAATTGCACCTTTAAAAATTCTACGCCAATGGCAAAAAAGGGGTTTGAGTATGAAATTTGGATTGGGTACTCATTTACTACAAAAAAGTACCCTTGATAACACTCGATTTACTCTCATGGTTTTGACAAAGTTTGTATTTTAATAATTATTGTTTATGTTATAAAATTACTAAAATGCAAATTTTGTCAAAACCATGAAAGTAATCGAGTCTTATCAAGAGTACCTTATTTAAAGTAAATGAGTTGCGTAATCTAAATGTCATACTCAAACTCCTTTTCTTTCATTGGCGTAGAATTTTTAAAGGTGCAATTATTTAAAAAATCAAGTTCTACGCCTATATTATCGGACAAAATTTTAATACCGTTTTTTTTGCCACATAAAACTCTACCATTAAACCAAATTTTAGCAAAATCGCATATGCCGTTTTAAATTTATATGGGAAAAACGATTTAAAAATTGTAACTTCAAGGCCCTCTGGAGCCCAAACGTAGCAACTTTGTACTACGGTAATTTTACTTAAATCGACTTATTTTGATCTAAGGAATATGTGGTATGTTTTTGTAAAGACCTTTTCCAGACACCCTGTATAGAGAGAGGAGACAGAAAGAAAGGACCCTCGAGTGGGAACTTTCGCGGAAGGCGAGGGCTCTTGTTTTTCGGGACCTTTAGGTTTCCTGTACGATTTTTAGTTAATAATAAGTCCAAAGTTTTGAGTCAATAAAATTTTTATCTAGTTATCTTAAATCTTTATTTAAAGTTTGGATCTATTAACAAGTAGTGCTTTATTCCCCACGAGGATGGGTCTAAATTTTAGATATTTAAGAAAGTAATGCGTCAAAATGTATCAAAACACCCCGTCGTATTAAGTCACCCCAACTGACGGTACTGTAGAAGGCACACAATAGAGGTCAAAGACTTATCGTCGCATTCCAAAGAAAACCACGTAACTCCATATTTTTTCGAAAATGAGGTTTTGGTGCCATCTGTTGCATAACTGTATAATCTTGCAACTATCAAAATATCTAAGTCCAAATGCCAAGCGTTAATATTTAAAAACTTTAAAAGAAATCTACTTATCTCCAGTGGTTTCGAAGCGTCCGCGCACGTGTTTACAAGTTTGAAATAATTAGTGGGAAAAAAGTGTTATAATAGTACAGTACCTGATTTTATGAAACGGTAAGTATCAACGAAAAGTTGAATTGTTAAGATACAGTGTATTTTTAAGAAAATATGATAAAAATAATTCTCACAAAAATTATTGCTGGAGATACGCAATTTTCGTTTTAGATAGTGAGGGTCCAAAAGTATGGAGTTAAGCGTATTTCCTCGATTTCTTGCCTATACTGTTATTAGATTATAGGATTGAATGGATTTAAATAAAAAATATAAATAAAATTTTTTTTATTTCCAGGACCAGGAATGTCTTCAAGAGCGAGAAGGCTCGTTGCTGTGGCTGTAAATAATGTCGTCCCAGAAAACTCAGATAATATTGCTAAAAATGCCGCTGAAGAAGAGGTGTTTTTGGAAACTATCAATACCCAACTGCACAATGATAATGTGGAATTCTATGAAGTTGATGAGGAAAGTATACTAAGTCCAATACCAGCACCTTCAGATACAACAAACGGTAATAATATTGAGAACGTCCAAGGTCTTCTTCTGCCAATAGAATATTTCAATGAACAAATTATTGAGGAAGCTATCAATAACATCGGCGATCAAGAAACTGAGGAGGATATTGTCAACAGAATAGAAGATAATTTTGAACGTACTATTGAAGAAGCCAAAAGAAACCAAGGACAAAGAACAGAAGAAGAAAATCTTGAAAAAGTCGAAAATTTTAACGGAAAGAACCTGCTAAATTAAATGACCAAGGAGCTGAAGTTGAAGAAGAAATAAAGCTCATAAGCAAAACAAAACGAACCAAGAAGAATAATGAGGCAAGCACAAGCAGAGAATTAAGAGGGGAAGAAGAAACTGCTGATTCACCTGATCAAGAACAAGAATCTAATGAACCTGCAGAATTACATAACTTAATCAAAAGAAAACGAGCCAGAAAACATGATGTAAACCCTTCCTCTTGGTTCCAAAATATTAATAAAATCAATCGTGAAAAGGGCATAGAATACAGTGGTAAGAAGAAGCTGGAAAATGAATGGAAATATGATATCCCAAAACACAAAAAGATATTAAAAAACCCTTGTGATTGCAGAATCAAAATAATATCAAAAAAGATTCAATGTAACATTGCCACCGAAGAATACAGACAGACTATTTTTAAATTATTTTGGGAACATATGAACTGGCAAGAAAGAAAAGTTTACATACAAACTCTTGTTCGGGTTGAACCCGTTAAAAGGAGACGTGGAACAAATGAAAGTAGTAGAAGAAATAGTTCATTTAAGTATTTTTTAAAAGCTGATAATTAGGAAATAAGAGTATGTAAAAAAATGTTTTTAAATACGTTAGTCATGAAAGAATCAACTGTTTTGAACTGGGTAAGGACCGACAAAATCAAAGACGCTGAAAAAAATTCGCAAGATAAACGGAGAGAAAGTAGAAATCAGCTTTTCAAAAATAGACATGAAAATCTAAATGAATTTTTTGAATCTCTTCCAAAGGTTGAGTCCCATTATTGTAGGGCATCGACATCAAAGCTTTATCTAGAGCCAATGTGGACCTCAACTAATGAACTTTATAGATTTTATAAAGAAAACTACTGCGTAGAAAACCAAAAAGAATCAATTTCCAGAACTGTTTTTTTTTTAATGAATTTTGTAAGAAAAATTACTCGATTTACATCCCAAAAAAAGACCTTTGCGACAAGGGTATTGCGTTCAAAACGAAAAACATAACTGAAGAAGACTACAATTTACACCAACAAATGAAAAGAGAAGCAAGGGATGCGAAAGAAAAAGACAAAGAAACAGTAGTTGCTGTATTTGCCATGGATCTTCATGCTGTTCTGCTCTCACCTAAATCAACAGTAAACTGGATGTACTGATGTACTATAAGACGAAATTGATAGTCCATAACTTTACCTTATTGGACTTAAAAACACGCGAAGGTTACTGCTTTTTATGGAATGAGTCAGATGGTGGGCTCACATCAAACGAATTTTACTCCATATTAGTGTATTTTTTGGAAAATCACGTGATTCTTTTTTTGCCTGATGACAAAAAAGAAATTGTACTTATCAGCGATGGTTGTAGTGGGCAAAATAAAAACTCGACATTGTCAAATAGCCTAGTAAATTTAGCAATGATCCACAAAGTTACCATAATGCAAAAGTATCTCGAAAAAGGACACATCCAAATGGAGGTGGACAACATGCATTCCTGCATAGTGTCACAATTATTCCTTAAATGGAATTAATTTATTTTCATTCGGCTCAGTAAATAATTTAACATCCTGTATGTTAAATTATTTCTGAATAGTAGGTCGATTTCGAAATACTTTTAAATCGTAGAGAATGCATTTCATAGTTTCATAACAATTAAGTTAAAAACTAATGAACTTTGTGCTGACTCGACGATTTTGGAAGTCTTGCGAAATCGAACCTAGTCGGATTATTTGAGGGGGGTCATTGAGAGTTTTGCGAGACGGCAAAAAGGGTGGTCGTCATCGATCACAGAAAAATAATTGTGGTTAATAAAATATAAAGCATGAAATAAATACTTATAAATATTTCTGAAAATAAAATAAAGTAAAAAATAAAAATTGTGACTGCTCCAGGACAATGAGGTAAGGACCCCAAATTTTAATATTATTATATCGATTCTTTATTATATCTTTTGCGTCTTTTGATTACGATATTTAATAAAGTGTTTGTTGATTTTTTATACATGGTGTTTCTATTATAACTAGTTTAGTTCTCTATACAGTAATTTAAGTCACCCGAGGTTCATCTTAAGTGGCGCAGATTCCTTCTAAACCAAGAAGTTAATCTGAAAAAAAAGTTCGCAACAGAGTAATCAACGTACCTGCAGACTATGTACATGCCTGTAGAATCGCAAGAAGAGAAAAACCTTATAAAGTGAAATACCTAACTTTTGACTTTTTTAAAAAATACGACGAAGTAAAATTTTATAAATCTATTAGACCAGGAAGAAACACAGTAAATCAGATCCGTGCTCTAAAGCAGTGCTCCGCAACCTTTCCTCATCTGAGGCACACCAAACTGCTCCCTAGAATTTCGTGGCACACCAAAATCTAAAATATATTTATAGCAGTGGCGTAGCTAGGTCGGGGGTCAGTTCACTCCATGTATACTAATTATTTATGGATGTCCAAACTACCTTAGTTTTTTTTATTGTTTTAAAATGTGAAGAAGCCCCTTTCAGATTTGGGGCATCAAAATTTTCACTCAGGACATAATACATATTTTTTTTTAATTTTTTTTTTTATTATTCAGATAGAATAAAAAATACAAATAGGTACATACATGAGAACTATACTAAATACTAGGTAGGACAGATAGGTATACTAAATTTACTTCTGTTGACACGTCAATAGTAATAAATATTTTGACATGATGATGACTGATTAATGTGATACCTGCGCTTGCTTCGTTGAACACAAAAGTTTTATATTCGGCTCAATTTTAGACAGCGCAACTCTCATTTCTTGGTCAAGATCTTTTAAGCATGACCGTTTATCATTTTTAATTAATACAAGCGTTGAAAAACTTTGCTCACATAAATATGTTGTGGAAAACGGAAGTAGTGTGAAGATGGCCTTGTCGGTGATGCGTGGATATTCTGTCTTGATGGAAATCCAGAAAACATCTAACGGAACTTCGTCGAATTTAAGTTTTAGGGTCATATCATTACTTAATTCTGTGAACTCCTCTCGAGTTTGCAATGGCAGTGCTTCCGTGGAACTTATTGCATTGGTTGCGAAAGGATTTCGAATCCAATTGTATTGTTCCGTGTTGATAGAATGGAAATAGTATTCAAATTTTTGTTGAAGCATACTTAAATGTTGTTGGGCCAAATCCACAATCAACTGCTTGTTTTCGATCGTACTGTGGTTGGTCCTGTGATACATTTCTAGACATCCTTTTTGCAACTGTTCCTGCCAAAGTTCAAGTTTCTTTTTGAACCCTTGTAATTTATCGGAGCACGTCAATATATTTTCATTCCGTCCTTGCATTTTTTTATTAAGTTCATTCAGATGTTCGAATATATCCGCCATGTATGCAAGTTTGGCTATCCAGTATTCATCATGAAGGTGCTGGCATAGATCGTACATATCTTGACTTGAAAGAAACTCACGCACTTCGTAGCGAAGTTCAAACAGTCGAGCTAAAACTTTTCCCCGGGATAACCAACGAACTTCTGTATAAAACAGTAAGGATTCATGTTCGCTTCCCATTTCTTCACAGAGTATTCCAAAGATTCGCGAATTTAAGGCTCTCGATTTAATTATGTTTATGATCTTAATACATTCATTCATTGTGATCGAAAGCTGTTCGGGCAAATTTTTGACCATCAATGCTTCTCGATGTATGCAGCAATGTGTAATTTGTATTGACGGATTTTTTTGTTTTACACAAGATACAAAACCTTTCTTACTGCCCATCATTGCAGCAGCACCATCTGTACAAATAGCAACGCAATTGGTCCACTGAATATTATGTATTTTAAAAAAATTATCAGTTACTTGGAAAATTTGTTCACCGGTAGTTCTCTCTGGAACCTCCTTACAAAATAAATAATGTTCTTTAATAGAGTCCTCGTCAACAAAACGTACAATAGCCATCAGTTGTGCTTTATTTTTAATATCGGTTGATTCGTCGATTTGAAGCGCAAAAATTCCAGCCGAAATGATTTTTTTAATTAGTGTTCCCAAAATATCACTTGACATATCTTGGATACGTCTTTTAACAGTATCGGCCGACAAAGAAACTTTACTCACGTCCTTAACTTCGTTTGGCCCAAGCATAAGTCTAACAATTTCCATGCATGCTGGTTTAATAAGCGTTTCACCGATAGTGTGCGGTTTTTTTGTTGTGCAATTAATTTTGCAACAAGGTAGCTTGCTTCTAATGCCTTTTCAGAAACCGTAACCGCCGATTTCATAAACTGCTTTTGTTTCTTATTTTGATCCAAGCGCCGTTGGAAAAATTGAATGTCTTTTTTGACGCAACTGGGATGATTTGTGATCAAATGACGGTTTAATTTGCTGGGTACCATTGCTTCATTTGACAACTGTTCACCGCAAATGACGCATTCAGGCTTTGGAGCCGCTTCGTCGCCACACCAAGTGAAACCATATCGAAGGTAGTCTTGATTGTACTTCCTTTTCAGCACCTTTTTTGCTCTTTTTGCAGCACTTATGCTGGAGCTTGTGCTAGGTTCTTCGTCATCTGCTCGTGATTTCAGCAAAAATTTATCCATATTTGAATCACTATAGTTATTTATAAAAGTAGATACTGCAACAAAACTTAGCCCAGTTCACTTATTTATAAGGCACAAGAATTTATTTATATAGCAATTCACTATTTATTTCACTCTACGATTTATTTGTTTGCCCGCGTATTTATCTGATTCACTTGACTATTCGACTCTCTCTGAGTCTCTGAGCGACGACAGGCGCGCTTATATAGGCAGTGGCGATGTTCAGGAAAACATCGAGTCGCGCCTCGAACGGCACGGATCTTTCTAGTTTAGTCGCCTTCGAGAATCAAGCCGCCGCGCCGCGCCGATAGACGGATAGACGTTTACCATCGGCGCTGTTGTCAGATTGCTTTATTTTTCGCGGGTCTCGCTACAATACGAATCTGATTCGTATTGTCTGCAAGAGCGGCACACCTCAAGTCGGCTTACGGCACACCAGTGTGCCGCGGCACACCGGTTGCGGAGCACTGCTCTAAAGTACGAAATGAACGGGAAAATATCATTTAAACTCCGACATCCTGATCCCTGGGAGAATTTAAACCAGAGAAGCCAGTCACTTATACCTCGCCCAATAAGTGAAATTCAACCACTCTTTAAAGAAAGAAGGAAAATTATGGCTGACAAATATCAACATCTTCAGATTTTAAAACAAAGCCTACTTTCAGACTATCACGCCTTTTATGATACCCTTGCTTATGAATAAAAAAGTTGTTACTTTATTATTGTTCAACATATTTTTGAAATACTGTTTAAAATGTTTAAAGATTTCTTTTGTTTTATAAATATTACAGTTTATGTAGGTAGCTACTTGACATTGTTTTTCGTGTTTTATTTATATCATTATTTTGTTCTTATTCCTTTTAAGAGATTATGTACTAAAAAGAATATCATCTCACAACTCAGTAAATTCCGTTTTTATAAATCCGAAATTAACATATCTCCAATTATATTTTTATTTCAAAAAATATTTAATTTTTGATGTAGTTCTTTTTTATCAGCCAACTTCTATTACCTATTATCCAAAATTG